AGATGACTTTAATTAGAAGGAGAATAAATTAAGGGTTACTTAATTTATCTGTTATAGAATCAGTCCACATACCCAGGGACAACAGGATACTTTGAGTCTCCATGTTGGTTTCTGGTCCAAATTACATCAGCATAGCAAACTCCACAGTTGGTAATTTTTATGGAAGCATCATCAGTGTCAAGAGCCTTGATTAATTAGAATACATTCATAATAAGTCGACCTTCACGGAAACCGTATGATGTAATTATCGTAATAAGTTCTTAACTTTTATGAATGATCACAATCGCAACATTCAGAAAGGTTGAGGAGAAAGCTAAAATGAGAAGCCGCTCGGCTATACTCGGTTTTATAAATGATTTCTTAAAAATATTATGTCCGAGCGGCTCTACTACTTCTTAAAAAAATTTAAAAATCTCGAGTCTAGCGCCGTACGTGTCAAAATACGTATAGCCGAACTGCTATAATATATTTTTAAAAAAATATTACTGTAGTAAAGCCGTCCGGCTGTACTGCTTTATTTAAAAAAATTAAAATCCCCGGTATAGCCGCCCGGCTATACCAATTGTGTTTAAAAAAAAATCCTGAGTATAGCCGTCCGGCTATACGACACTAAGTATAGCCATCCGGCTATACAATTTTTATAACGCCGCTCGGCTATATAAAATCTCGCTTATAGCCGTACGGCTATAATATTTTTTTAAAACAGTAAAGCCGCCCGGCGATACTATTGTTTTAAAAATAACAAAATACCCGAGTATAGCCGCGCGGCTATATCTGTTTGATGTTCTGCATATAGCAAATTCACCAACTCAGCATCACCCTGGTATATACCTTGTCATCACTGGATCATTATTCTTCATGTGAAATGGAATCTGATTGTATTAGCCATTAATCAACACTCATACAGCAGCAGGACTATAATATATCTCAATGATGATCATTTTTCATTTTATAATAACGCTGAATTTTCATTTCCGACGCACTTGGGGCCCGTTCGGTGGTGTTTTCGGAGGCCGTTTTCCGTTTTCATTCTCAGGAAACACTGAGATTTCTGAAATCATTTTCAACCTTTTAGTTATAATTCACTGAAAACGCAGAAAATATCAAAAGGATGTTTTCATTTTCAGAGAATATGGATTCACTTCGAAAAAAAAAACAGTGCAGAAGCCACCATCGTCAAACACCACCCAACAGCCACTACAGGCCAATCGAACCACAATCACAACAGACCAGCCACCTGCTGATCGCACCACCACCCAGTTGAACCCAATCGGCTGAAAGACTGCTTTTGAGATTTTTTTTTTTTTTTTAATTTGTTCAAAAATATTTTTATTTTTTTTAATAATAATTTCGGTCTTATGTTACCAAACACACGTTTTCACTGTTTTTATTTTCTAAATTTGTTTATCAATTAATCTACCAAACGTATTCTCGAATATTGAAAATGCAAATTTGTTTTCTCGTTTTAATTCTCTGAAAATATTTTTTGAAAACAATCTCTGAACACGTTACCAGACGGCCCTTGATGATCTCACCACTTCTTTTGTCTTTCTACCGTTTAGCAAAGCCTTTAGCCATTAGTTGCATTTTTTATATTGGTATAGATGCCCTTTAGCCATTAGTTGCATTTTTTATATTGGTATAGATGCCTGTCTCCATCTTTCTCTTGTTTTCCAAGTGCCATAGATCAAGCTAATTAAGGTGGCGGGTACACTTTTCTGCACTAGTGGTTCTCTTATCTTCACTTTCTGGAAATGATTATTAAAGGTTTTCTCTTTCTTGGGAGGCCAGGCCACTAATCTTAAATGTATTTAACCCTGAGGCTTTGGCCTCTGTTATCACTTTACCACCAGGATATGCTTTTTGTGCATCATTGCGATCTTCTTTTCTTGCCCTATTTTCACAAGCAACCAAGGGTTCTGCAGGTGATTGAATACATAATGATACTTCAGTGATGAATCCTGTTATTAGTGAAAGAAAATGGCCATAAGAACAGTTGATGTAAAAGATTTCAGTTTTATAATGATGCAGAAGACCAAATCCCAGATGCAATTCCACAAAGGGTAAATGATCACCACCCAACTATAAATGAATGCCGGTAGATGCTTTGTGTTCGAAATATGGAACATACGAATTTATTAATATGTATCAAAAAGGGAAATCTTCTTTTCTTTTCAGGGAGTTTTCAATATCAATTACAAACCGGTATTTCACATCTTTTTTTACTAGCCTCTCGAGAGCTTCCGTTGCATATTGAATTGGAATTATTTCAATCATTGGGTGAATTTCATGAGCAGCACAGAAATCAATCATTTCTTGCGTATCCTTCGTTCCGCCTGTCAAACTGCCAGAGATGGTTTTCATACCTGCCAAAAGGTAAATGCACGAGTTCATTATACTTGCAACTTTACCACTACCAAGAGAGTTGGATATATGAAACCAAAATATCAATCATTTGAAAAATGCAAAAGTACCCAGATTGAGGCTTGCAGGACTGAATTTGACTTCACTGGGGAATCCCACCAAGACCAGAGTTCCACCAGTCTTCAACAATGCCATATATGGATCGAATGGATGATCACCAGATGCTGTATCAATTAGAAAGTCCAACGACTTCACCAAGGCCTGCATAGAAAACGATAACCAATAAATATTAAACCAAAGAATAAGTCATCTCTATTGTTTTCATATGATCACTGATCAGGTAAAAAAAACGCTTGCTTTATAAGAAAATCTATGTATTTTTACCGTCATCTGCTCTTGGTCAGATGACACCACAAACTTATCCGCACCAAGCTGGCTTAGGGCTTCCTCTTTCTTCGATACACTTGTGCTGAAAACTGTTACATGTAAACCAAATGCCTTCCCAAACTTCACTGCCATGTGACCGAGACCACCAAGACCAATCACTCCTAGAGATTTACCAGGTTGATTCATCTTGTGGCGCTTCATAGGAGCATAAACAGTAATTCCAGCACAAAGCAGAGGTGCTGCTGAAGCCAATGGATAGTTGTCAGGTATCTTGAAGCAGTACCTGTAAGATGATTTCATAGAAGCATGTAATGAACTTGGAATTATGCCACTTTAGAAAAGCATTTAGTGAACAGAATTACAACCACAGAAAGATTAAGGAGAGGAGATCAAAGGAATTCTGATTGTCTAGTCATGAATTGTATAAAGTTTATTAACACAAGAAAAAAGGATGCAAAAAGCATTTGGCTTCATAGATTTCACACCTTTCATGGACAACTATATGACTGGAGTATCCACCTTTTGTAATTGTACCATCCGTGTCAACACCATTAAAAGTGTAGACTGAACCCTTTGCACAATGGACTTCAAATCCCTCATTACAATACTCACAATCTCTGCATGAGTTGACATAAGTTCCCACTCCGATATGGTCCCCAACTTTGAAGCTATGAACATTGGAACCTACCTCTTTCACAATACCTGCAATCTCATGTCTGGTTGCAAATAGCCACAAACCACAAGTTTTAGATGGAAACTACAAGAGTTAGATATTTATCTATCATACAGTCAGTCGACATACCCGGGCACCAAAGGATACTTTGAGTCTCCATGTTTGTTTCTTGCCCAACTGACATCAGCATAACAAACTCCACAGTGGGTAATTTTTATGGAAATGTCATCAATCCCAAGAGCCCTGAAGAAAGCACCCGAACCAAATGACAAACGATTAACTAGAAGGCATTATGAAACTAATGGAATGACAAGAAATTCATAAAATTTGATCTTTATTGCAAGTAACAATCTAGAAAGCCAACATTTTGAAAGCTTGATGCTATTGCAAATTTGCAACAATGAGAAGCCTTCCCATCAACAGATCATGATTCATGCTCAATTGAGAACTTGTAATTCTGAAGTGTTGCAACAAGATAGAGGCAGTGTCTTCTATTGTTATCTTTCATTGAGAAGTTAATACATGCAATTTATAGACAGTAAAAAGGATTGAAAACAAACCTGCGGCTGAATTTGTATTCAGATAGAACCCCAGATGGATCCCTTGCAGCATATCCAAGGCAGTTCTCATTTGCGCTCTCGGAGCTCATTGTTAACTATACCATCATAAATCATCAGTTTCGTTAAAACTAACAGAACCAACCATTCCCTCCGAAATTGCCTCAGCTTATTGGCATGCAAGAAATATAAACATAACACGAAACACATAGAAACATAATATCCTACATCAAATATCAATCGGTGTTTGTTACTGTTATATCGTTGGAACCCAGATATTGAATGATTTCCATAACCACAAAAACAGAAAGGCTGCAGCTTTTAAGAGATTGAAATCAGAGAAACAGCTGCAGTTAATGGTCCAGGGCCAGACAGTCAAATCTCCGTTGACTATTTCAGATTCAAACACTGCCCTGCACTCTCAGAGCGAGTGGGGTCCTTGAGAATAAAATTAATACTCTTTTCATCTGTTCTCAATCATACAAAGCAGTTTCCAATCGGTTAATCCTTTACAGGCTATGCATGCAAAGATTGAAATTGAGAATTGCAGATCAAAGAAATCTAAATTATCAACAACAAAAAAAGTTGAAAGAACTGAGTGCATCACAAGAAATGAAGAGAGAAAAGAGGAAGGTGCGTTTACCCAAAAAGATGCGAAGAAGAATGGAGAAACAGAGAGAGAGAGAGAGGGAGCTCAGTTTTGTTTGTTTGTTCGTCCTTGTAGTTTGGAAATGACCAGAACCAGGGCCTTCTTCTTTATCTTGTGTTGGCTTTATTATAGTAAAAATGAACCACCTCAGCGGCTCAGCGTTAATTGGTCTTATCTCACTGGATTATTTGGTCCTCCTCGTTTATACATTATATTAGTGCGATGTCGTTTTATTTATTTAAACAAAAATAGTCCAAGGCTTTGTTTTTTTTCCGAGAATTCCGAGGTCGTCGTTTTGTATGGATTATATAGTGTATAGAATGATGAAAGAAGATTGATGGTAACACAAATATTGAATTCAATCATGCTAGAATTCGAAACAACATCTGCCACCAATATTATTTCAATGATCAAATTTGTCCTCCTAAATTATACAAGAAACCTGTAATCACTACCAGACCTACATTCATCCGAAAAGAGGACAAAACAAAAAGAACAGTATTTCCAAAAACAACCATAGATTAGTGAAACAGCTATTGATAGCAGCACAAGTAGGAAAGGGAAAGTTGACTCATACAGCCCAAGGGAGCACTGAAATCACAATGGAACACACTAAGCAAGGCGATAGGGTCCACCGCCGAAAGGGAAAGCTCAGACAAACTTCTTATTTCTTTTGCTTTTTGCGCTTCACGGAAGGCTTCCTATTTTGGACCTTCACTGCTGAGGAAGTTCTAAATTCAGTAACTTTAGGGTCTTCAGGCAGTGAACATAACAAGAATTTTTTGGTGGAACCAACTTGGTTGGGGAACAGCTTCAGCATCTTCCTTCCCCTCATCCATTTTAGCATTATCTTCATGTGTGTTTTGCTGTTCAATCCACTGAGACCAGAATCCTGATTTTTTCAATTAAAACATTAATCAGAAACATGAACTAACAAAAATTTAGAGAACTACAAATACATGAAACATGTGGTCTGGCATGAACAAGCATCACTATGTAGAATCCAAGGCTATATTGGAAATTTCAGATAAAAAGTTTGACGAAAAGCACTCTATATTAGATATCAGTAAACCAGGTACCTATTACAGTATAGACCGCCTTAGTTTGGTAAGGAGTACTTGCTAGCATACAATTCCTAGACATGGTTACACTCTAGCACTGGAAAATTAGTATCGAACACATCTTTATACGGAAACAAATGACCAGGTATGTATTAGAGTTCTCAAATTTTACATTTCCAACTACTAGAAAATGTTATGAACTAGTGCAAGAAAAAGTATGCCCAAAGATAACACCGAAAAATTAGTACTTTATTGTATCATAAATACAAACAAAGTTAGCATAAACTCTAGGATTGTCATAAATATGAACACAGGCTTTCTCAATTCTATGGTTAGGCCTAAAAAGCACAGATGCCTGTGCTTTAATTTCTTAAACTTAAGCACCTTGTGATTTCGCTGTTATATTTAAAATTTTGAATGTTAGTATTAACAGAAACCATTCAAGTTAGTATTAACAGAAACCATTCAAGTTTTATTAGAAACTTGTTAAAGCTAGAAAGTATAATCAGCCAAGGATACAATTATAAGATGGAAAGTATGATTCAGTACATTCTCATAGTTACAGTTCAAGTTATCCTACTCCAATGAATGACAGAATATTACCTATTGCATAAAAATAGCTGAATGACAGAATATTACTTATTGCATAAAAATAGCTGTATGAAAGCTAGGTTACATCACCCTTCACTTCAATCTGAGATGCCTGTGAGACTGCCTCAACAGGACAAGATTTGGTTTCAAATCCAATTAATAAAATTTCATGCACAATTAAGCACAGTGATTAGAAATGAAAATGACACAATGGAAAGGGTCACATTCACACACACGCACACAAATATATATTATATGAAACAAAACTAATATAATTGCACAGAAAGGGGGAGAACCTTAGCCTGAACCCAAGTATTGGAGATGGTGAGAGGGCCATGTTGCTTGACGACGTCGTATAGATCACGAGCAATGGAGTTAGCCTCCGGAAAGCTCACTTTGGGGTTGATTTTCCTCAAATTCTCTGCGCGCTTCCGAGAGAAATGCCTCACAAACGCAGTGGCGCTTGTAATCAAACCGC